TATACCCGGATATGCCATCCAATCACCAAGTGTGGATTGGTGTGATGTTGCGGCAGGGCATTGCAGCCAGCAGACGTGCCGCATCGTGGTGTACACGGCGCAGCTTTGCTTCGAAGCCGAAGAAGCCCGTGGTGCTGAATGACTATACGCGCGTGCGAGACTTGGCCAAGAAGCTAAAGGTGTCGGCGGACGACGTCGTCAAGCAAGCCTGCCGGAAACACTACCACAAGTACTACATGACACATCACGACATCCAGTACAAGTTCGACTCGCTCAAGCAGGTGATTCTCCCATTGGACCTCGCAGCGCGAATCGCAGACCACTTTGGCGCGACCGTCGCTTATGAATCCGTCGAGCCGCAAGACATTGAGTCAGACCCGTCGCTTGGGGTACTCGTGCCACGGCCGCCAGTGATCGCCGTCATGGGCCATGTCGATCACGGCAAGACTACTCTGATGGACACGTTGCGCGGCGCAAATATTGCGCAGTTCGAGGTAGAAAAAATCACACAGAAGATTCACGTGTGCGATACCACGCTGGCTCCTGACGTCCCAGTGACGTTCCTCGACACGCCGGGCCATTTCCACTTTACACGCATGCGCAACAACGCGGCAGGCGTGGCAGACGCGGTCGTACTGGTCGTCGCGGCAGACGAGGGGTGCCGACTGCAAACCGACGAGTCGATCGGGTGCATCGAAGACCTCGATGTGCCGACTGTCGTCTGCGTCAACAAGATGGACTTGGTCCCGCCTTCAACATTTGACAAGTACGTAACCTGTCGCGTTGGCACATGCCTCATCGTATGTGTAGAATCTGCGATGAAATCAAGGAGTACGTGGCGCTGGAGACAAGTCCGGTCCTGCCGATCTCAGCAAAGGAAGGGACGAACCTGGATGTGCTCAAGCAGACGCTGTTGAACGTGTTGGAAACCCAAGTGCTCACGATGCATGCGCACGTGGATCGAGGAACGCAAGGTAACCGCATCCCGAGGGGATGTTTCGACGGCGAGAGGTCTCTTTTTTGTAGGAACAACGCTGGAAGTGGTCGCGTCGATCGGTCGCGGCACGGTCCTTCGCATCCTCGTACGGCTCGTCGATGTTGGTCAACGTGTATCACAGGCTCTTTGTATCGAGATAGGTGCAACATGGAGCGCTCAAAGTCGGCGACCACTTCATTTGCGGCATGTTGCATGGCGTGGTGAAGAATTTGACGCGGGCAAACGGCGACGACGTGGCGATTGCAATGCCCGGCCAGGTTGTCGATGTCTCGTTCAAAAAACTATCACGGCACAAGGACGCCCCACTCGAGTACTCTCTGCATGTCGTGACAAAAGAGCGGGCAGAAGCGATTCTGCACCAACGGTATATCCTCGTCCCCGCCACCGAGAGCCCGTCCTGCATGCGTGTGTGGCACATAGAGAGATGGCGATGGATTTTGAAGCGTCGGTGGAGCTCCGTCCCGACCAAATTGCGGAAAAAGAAAAAGAAGAAGCACGTTTGCCAGCTAAAGGCTTCGTTGGGACGCCGATCGTGGTCAAGGCCGACACGGCGGGATCGCTCACGAGCATCCTCGACACTGTTGACGACATGGCGGGCATCCACACGGCGCATATGGGCCTTGGAAACATCACGGTCAAAGACGTCGAGAGGGGATGCACGATCTTTGGCTTTAACGTCCGCCTCCACGCTCGTGAGCGAAAGCTCGCGGCGGAACAAAACGTCCGCATCGTGATCCGCCCAACGATCCACCAGTTGCTTGAGGAGATTGCACTCGTCGCAGATGAAGACGAAGCGATCGCCGACGACGCGGACGAAAATCAGCAGCATTAGACCAAAGGAACCCCACAAGTGTCGTGGTTTCCACTGGGGCGTTGCACTGGCTGACACATAACACTACTGAACGGACTGTGGACCTCGCGCAATGTTGACGACTCGAAGACAAGAATGGAGATGCTAGCTGTACTTGACCCGTCTGTCGATGAATCTGTGGATCAGCGAGGAATGTCACACAGGGCGGGGCAGTGGCTGGATGACATGGAAGCATGCACACGAAATGACGAGTGTAGAGAACGATTCAAGTTCGGCATTCAAACAGAACGACCTGGACCGTAGAGTGCTGTCATGTAGTCATGCGAATGGCGCTGGTTCGGCTTGGTCCACAGCACGTACATACCGTGCACGCAATCGAGGTCCACACGACAAAGTCATGGGCAGCGTCATCGATGCCCACCAACGGAAATCCATAAAGCACTCCAAGGAACCAAATACGAGAAGCGGGAAATGCACTGGTGGTGCAGCAATCGCGGCCGAGGCTGGCGCATGCATGTACCGACCGTACTTGACATGTCTGTTGCGAAGGGAAAAAACCTGTAAATACTTATTCAATCAATATATTATTTTCTGCAATACTCGTTTGTAACCTATAC